CTGACTCGCCGCTCACTGGTGGCTGCTGCTGACTCGCCACTCGCTGACTCGACGCGCTATCGATCGCGCGGTGGCTACACACACACACGCGAGCGATTGCATGACCTCCGTTTGCGCGGAGGTAATAATAATAATAATCATAATCATAATAATAATCATAATCATAATAATTTCCATTATCATCATCATTAGTAGTAGTTTATACAGTATATCGTAAGACATCGAACATGAATGTACGTAATTTAATAATCAATTTTATAATTATAATCATAATAATAATCATAATCATCATAATTTCCATTATCATCATCATTAGTAGTAGTTTATACAGTATATCGTAAGACATCGAACATGAATGTACGTAATTGCATCATTTTAATGCATCTCGCTAACATTCATTAAAATGTTGTGCCAGGTTATACATCAGACTTCACAACTTTACAGGCTAAAGCACGATAAAGCTGTTCCTACACAATTATTACCGCCAAGGTCTACGGCACTGGTATGTAAAGGTCTTTGATGAAATCTATCGAGATCCGAATCTGTGTAGCTACAATCACACGCATGAGTTATGCACGCACATGATATAGTGCCTCAATGGGAATTAAGCAACGTGAATGAAACGAAAGAGCAAGAGGAATGTTCCGTTACATCCTGCGTGTGATGAGCAAGAGTACCGCCTGTGTGGAAATGATATTTCTCGAATTATTCGAGTTTAAATTTCGGTGAATTATAATAAATTAAATTTTTTTTTTTTCTGTAATTAAAAAAAAGAAGTTTAATTGTTGTAATAATTTTAACAATAATTTAAGTATTTCTAAATCAGTAATAAAGTAATATAATAATAATTACCATAGAATAATTCATAATAATATTTATAATAGAATATATTTTAAAGCGATTGTTGCGAGAATTTTCCAGTGTTTTCACCACTTTCATGACACCTACCGTTATTGCTTGAGTAACAGCAATTGTCTAGAGTAACAATAAAATGTCTTAGAACCTTCGTATTTACCAAAAACTGCCAGCTTCGAACTAGTTTCGTAAACATTCGTTTTCTGTTATCTTGAACTAGGCGGAAGTGTGGATTAGCTTGTGGCGCCACCGCTTATCTGCCATAGACAAAGCATGACTCTCTCAAATCATGCACTTGTTTTCAATTAATCACCGACACAAATACAAGTTTACCAATTCTGCCATTAGGCATTGTCGCGACACGATAAAATGCATTGCTGTTACGATGTGTTCATATCCAAATTTCTATGCTATAACTGCATAAAATCGTAGTATTTTTAATGTTGGTGTAATCAGTGATATTTTCGCTGTCAGGTGAGACTATATACAGCTATATTTAGTTTTTCTGAGCACAAATCTCGCAATAATCATTTTATTAATGATAGCATCATTAATAGTATTAATAATAATAATAACAGAGGTAATGTTTACACCATGACAAGTATAATATATAGCGACATAATTACAACGTGTATATAACTAAAACTGACTTTGTTTACACGATACTGCAAAACTTCAATTTAAAGAAGTAATACTCTAGGGATTATTCGCACACACGGCTTTACTACTAATCCTCTATATTTGCTTTTGGGGCAAACAACATTTTCTTCATCATAATCGCGTGGTAAATTCCACTCCCCACCCCACCCCCGCGCGCTTCCTCCCCCTTCCCCCGCCACCTACACGGGTCTGCCATGAATCAATATATTCTCGTACACGAGGTAATTGAGCTAGAATCGAGCAAGCACTCAATCCATCGTTTACGATAAACATCAGCCGGGAGCTATTGCGATAATCCATCTATCTATCTCACTCTTCCTCTCTCTCTCTCTCTCTCTCTCTCTCTCTCTCTCTCAGAGGAACGAGAGAGAGAGAGAGAGAGAGAGAACAGAAGAAAGAGGCAGAAAGAAAGAGAGAGAACGCGCGCTTAAGAGAGCATGCAGAGATAGTAGGCATAAGTGTCTGCGTGATTCGTTGGCGGGTGTAAAAGGTCAGCTGTCTGTAATGTGCTGGTATAGTCACGCTCGCTGTTCCCTGACGACACCGACATCGTTCTCAAGGTGTCCTTCAGCGACATGATGATAAAACTCGTCGCTACATCGCGTCGCGTCTCCCGCGCTATACGACTCACTTCTTGTTGGTGTACGTCGCATTATAGGCGCACGCGTACCAGCACATACAGTCAAACCTCTGATAGCGGCCACCTGTGTAGAACGGTCACATGTCCGTAAAGGCCACTTTTGGCGTATCCCTTGAGTGGCGGCGATACAATGAGAATACCTTCATAGAACGGCCATGCGCGCATAAATGCTACTTTTGCCGTTTATATACTGTCGGCGTTATATACAGCTTCGACTGCATTCACACATAGTAATCACAATAAATATCGATAAAGATCTCACACTAATCTTCGATGCACAACGAGGCCCAGCGAGGGCAAAAATTATTCACATATAGCAATCGATTCACGTGCCAGCGTTTTCATCTATAGACTACAACACAAGTATATAATTATATACGCTCGCCCGCGGTAGACGTGAGCAGCATTGATTTACACATTAGGAATCCCCTTGGCACAGCAGTTAGACGAACCGCGGTATATTCCTGCCTGAGATACAAAAAGGGGCTCTGATCCCTTTATATTAGCGCACCGTCACGGTGAATGACTACGAAATCTAGATGCTGTAAGATCTATACTTTGCGCATCGAGGCGCCGCGTCCCAGCAACACAAGAATAATACCGAACTTGTCAGCTTTTAAATATTTATAACGATTTCCATTTACAACAGTATAGACGCGTGGATGCCTATATTGGCGCCGGGTGTGAGTTGGTTTGGCTCTCTGTTACGATTTTAGGATCGCAGGCTTCACTTTAGTTATCAGTGAATCGAATTAGTTTACTAAATGGAGAAGCCACAGCAGATCGTAAAATAGAGAATGCCAAAACACATAGAAGCCGTATACAGCGAGAAGGGATATACCAGGTTCTTGTGTGTGTGTGTGTGTGTGTGTGTGTGTGTGTGTGTGTGTGTGTGTGTGTGTGTGTGTGTGTGTGTGTGTGTGTGTGTGTGTGTGATCAGAGCCATGCTATATCTCTCCTTTCACGCGTCATACACGCATATACACATCACATTCCTTCACATTCCTTCACATTTCCTTCACATTTCACTTATCGTCTGCTCAAATCATCACTTTACAACGACTAAACGGCGAATTTCTGCCGCACGCTTTTTTTCTCCGCCACGATACGACTATCTATACATCGTCGCGCAAATTTTATAGTACAGCCATAAACGGCTATTGCTAACACCCTCGCCTTCACGAGCTCGCTTCACTTCATTCGCCCGTCTATCGACGTTTGCTTGCAAGCCTATACCCGTACACAGAGTACCGATTATTCCTGTGAGTTGTCCCCGTTGCGACGCTGCACACCGTAGTCCTCATCAGGCGGCTTCGGGAGAGTTCGGGAAGAATCGGGAAGGTGGCAATCGACAAAGCGGTTGGCCGCCGCACGATCGCATTACTGTTATCTTCATCTCTTCCTTCTCTTCTTCCTCGTCTTCGTCCTCCCCCTCCCCCTTCTCCCCCTCCTCCTTCTCCTCCTCCTACTCCTACTCCTCCTCTGCTCTCCGCAGTCAACATCGAGTGGCTCTCTCACTCTCTCGACGCGCGAGAGTCCCTCTTACCGGTTTCTTCCTTTTATTGAGCAGATTTAGGGGGTCGTCGTCGCCGGAGTAAACTTCCGGTCAGACGGGGTCACCCCCACGTTGACCTTCCGGTCAGACGGGGTTACCCTCACGTTGACCTTCCGGTCAGACAGGGTTACCCCACGTTGACCTTGCGGTCAGACGGGATCGCCCCTGGTTTGACCTTGCGGTCAGACGGAATCGCCCCTGGCTTGACCTTGCGGTCAGCCGGTATCGTCCCTGGTTTGACTTTGCGGTCAGACGGGATCGCCGCTCGACTGACCCTCCGGTGCGTGAATGATTCTGAAGAAGGCGGGGTGCATTCGTCGTCATTTCATCAGATCGTTGATGATCGTCGGCGAATAGTTGTTGAGGCGATCCTTGCGGCTGCCGTTGACGAGCGTCTTGTTCAGCTTTGCGTCGTTCAGGCAGTAGGCGTTCAGCTCTACCATGTATTCGGACAGTTCGATGTTGTCCTCAAAAGGGTCGTCGTCGGACGGGGTTCGGAGTTCGTTGTGATTGAGCCGATCGGGAGGCTGCACGGGCGATGGAGAGCGGCTACGCAGCGGGAGGCCTGCGACGAGCTTCGCTCGGGTGTGGTTGTCCATCTTCTCTGAGGCTCCGCGAGGTCGCAGCGGCGCGCGCGAGTCGGGCGAGGCGCTGTTGGCTCCCTGCGGACACTCCATCTGCGTGCCGGAGGTGTCCGAGTGCACCTGCTTGCTCGTAAATTTATACGAGCCATTGAAATGTGCGAGAAAGGGGCTGCGCTGTTTCTTTGGGGGACGAAAACAGCGAAAAAGCGTCGTCTTGAAGGCGCCGCGAAACTTGAGCGACATGACGTTGTAGAGTATCGGGTTGATGGTGGCGCTCGTGTAGTAGAGCACACCGGACACATAGGTGATGATGTGGAAGATGCCGACCAGCTTCTCGTTCCAGTCCTGCACGTAGACGACCATGAGACGCTGAGACTGGTTCGGCGCGTAGCAGATGAAGAACGCGATCACCACGGCAACTGCAACGAGAAAATAAAAACAAGATGGCGACGTGTGTGTGTGAACGTTCGAATTTGAGCATTAATTTCGATGATGGAAAGCGATGTAATGCATTGTACACACTCTTCATTAGATTTCGTCAGTAGGGATCGCATTTCAGTGTTATTATATCTCAAGCTTCAAGGTCGCTTTACCCGTTGACTATTTCACTTGGTGGACACGCGACTACCTATTTTAACTGTAATGTTTCTCAAGAAAACGTTATTGATTCGTCTATCCATGGATTTATCGGCAAGGTCATGGATGGTAAATTGTTAGGTATCAAATTGTACTCTACCGCTGGTCAGCATTGAGCAAATCGCAGCTCGCTCACTTATAGTACTTTCCCACTAACTATAATTCGGCGATCTCACCGCGTGGAGCGTATTTAGTAAATGATGCAGCTCGCTCGGCATGAATGGAAATTCGAGGTGTACTCGTCGGCAAGTACGAATTACTGCGACAGGTCGCGTTGCGGTGCTCTTGCGAGTGGGATGCGCCCACATCGTTGCCGATATGAAAGATGGATGAGTAAGTCGAGTTTGGTGCGCATGCGCGTGCCCCCGCGTGGTAAAACAATTAATTACGCAACCGCGAAATTGCCTTTGCTTCTCTAATTTTTGCACGAGCTCCGTCGTCCGTAGCTCTACCCGTATAGCGTTTCGCACCACAACAAAGTTCCTCCTTTCCCCTCTCTCCTCTCTCCTTTCTCCCCCTCCTCTCTCCTCTCCCCTCTCTCCTCTCCCCTCTCTCCTCTCTTGCTTCTCTCCTCTCTCTTCTCTCCTCTCTTCTCCTTCCTCTCTGCTGCAGAGCGAAGACCTACACACTCTTCGTTGCTCCTTATTACTCCCCTTTACGGATAGAACTATAGGTTTTGCGACGCGTTCGTGGTTAGGTTATAAGGTTAGATAAACGTATAGGTGATATATAGTGGCTGACGTGTAGATGTTGAACGGGCGTAAGGTTACTAACGGCGTTACATGCGCGTCCGTGCAAGACGAAGGATGTGCGTGCACTCGTACGTCACCCGGTCCACTAATTAGATTCGCGTTAATTATCAGAATGAATTAGTTCCGAGGAGAACAGACACAGCGATGCACGCACGCACGCACTCTCACACAATCGTGCGCGCACCCACGCGTTCAGGCAAGCTCCCATATATATTGTTCTAACAATAACCCAAACTTACCCCGGTACTTCCAATACATTGTGGTTTAACAATAAAGTTATTATAATAGTAGGGATATGGAATGTTTTGAGAGGCGAGAGAGAAGCATAAGGAGGAATCGAAAGATGGAGAAGAAATGGATAGCGAAGAATAGAGAGTGGCACGCACACACGCAGACACAGTCGTGAGTGCATGCACGCACGCAGGCACGCTCCCATATGTATGTTTTGAGGGGCGAGAGAGAAGCATAAGGAGGAATCGAAAGATGGAGAAGAAATGGATAGCGAAGAATAGAGAGTGGCACGCACACACGCAGACACAGTCGTGAGTGCATGCACGCACGCAGGCACGCTCCCATATGTATGTTTTGAGGGGCGAGAGAGAAGCATAAGGAGGAATCGAAAGATGGAGAAGAAATGGATAGCGAAGAATAGAGAGTGGCACGCACACACGCAGACACAGTCGTGAGTGCATGCACGCACGCAGGCACGCTCCCATATGTATGTTTTGAGGGGCGAGAGAGAAGCATACAGAGAAAGCAAAGGCAAGACGGGGAGGAAACAACTAAC